TGATTTTATTGATTGAAATACATTATTCGCAAAAACGAAGGAGTTTCCTTCATTTTAGTGTCTTCTTAAGAATTAAGTTTGTTTTTCCCGATTTTGAATATAATTATTTATTTTCGGCAATACGCGACGTTAGCGAACATAATTGCGAATAAAATTTTAAGTTATTATAACTAAGATGCGATAGACCCAGCGGGGAAATATTTAACGCTACGTTTATTTTATTAAAATCAATAATGCGAGAGTTTGACACCCGAATGACGAAATGTGCAATTTTTATTTTAAATAAACCAAAAATTGAATCGTACTAAGTTTCATTTAATTTTATTTAGATTTGAGTTCAATTAATTCATGTAAAGCGCATTCTAATAAATATTTAACTTTATTAATAGTAAAACAAAATAAAGATAAAAATAGAGAAAAGAAAAAGCCAGTATCTAGAGTGCGGACCAGAGAGAAAGGCCCTAGCGAATCCCGAGCGCAGACCATGAAGAAAGGCCCTAGTGAATTCCTAGCGCGGACCACGAAGAGTGACCGTGGCGGCCTCCGAACACGGACCGTCACGAAAAATCTAGGGATCTGAGCGATGATTGGCACACGTAACGAACCGAAGTGCGATTGGCCGAAGTACCCAGAGCGGGTATAAAGGGTATAAAAGCGGACGGCGAAATGACTCGAGGCTCTTTCGCGCTGTCAAACACCGTGAGGCTACGTCGGTCGATATTTAAAAAGCGCTAGAGACAGTCGCGTATATTAACAATCGTTGTAAGACGGTATCGTGATTTTAATTCATAGTAATCAATAAACATTCACTTGCGTTTCGATCTACGGTGAGGCGAAGCCAGCCAAAATTATAACGTGAATTAATTAGTAAGATAGTTGCATAGGTCTCGAGACACCGCGACTCTAAATATAAGTGGTCCATTGTGACTTATCGTGAAATCGGTCGAAACGTGGATTGTACCGCGATCGTAAAAAAAAACCGAAACAATTGTAACGCGGCGCTTGTGTGAAACAGTGTCTGTGACAGGAATTAGCAATCTGGCATCCTGTAAACTCAAAAAACATAATTAAATTACAATTATTATACTTACCTGGTGACATTTATTCGGTGAATTACCTACCTGCTAAAATCCTTGCGTCCAACAAACTAGCATCGGAGATCCGTGGAATCCAAGCGCCAACGAGGCGACCTGCAACAAAAGAAAAAGGCGCTAACAGAGGAAAAGAGGAATATCGAAACGAGGGTCAACTCAACGAGACTTGGGGTCTTCGGCGAGCACCCGTTTGCCAGAATCAACAAAGATATCTTTGTACTTATTCAGGTTAAAGTACGTGGCGACCGTATCTAAGAGCGAAAGCATTGCAACCTGATGATTGAGTAAGCTCGCATGCGTACGTTTCCATTGTCGGGAGGGCGTGTGTGTAGGCTGTCCGGTCACAACCTAACCTCTCCTACCTCTTTCTTCAACACTTTAATAGCGATTCTTCTAACCTCTCACGTCCTGAATCTTTTCTTTTCTTACACCTTCTCTGTGCTTCTCCAGTTTTCTCTTCACCTCCTCTTTTTCCTCTTAGCTTCTCCTTGCTTTCCTCTTCTTCTCTTTGTTCTCCTCCTTCTTTTTCCTTACTAATCTCTAAATCTTTCCTGCGCTCTACTCTCGACTTCTTATTACAATCCTTCTCCAACCGAAAGTAATTAATCGAGTGTTCGTGCGAGTGTGATGCGGCCGCGTGCGAACCGACATGCACGCTCCATCTCTGAGATCGCGGCGTAACTCGGAGCAGCTATTGATAGCGATCATATTGATTTCCGCATAGATCGATGTCTGACTAGCGGAGTCGTCCCGTCACTTCCGCAGTGACGAGGAAGAAGAAGGGCCTTCTGGAGTAATCTTCTCGAGTCGACACACGTGTGCTGTGTCGCTCTCAGTGTCGTATCAGATTGTAAGTCGTGCAAGTCATCGAATTATATTTCGTATATTATTTTGCTGTCTATGGTGACGAAGTAGTTATTTGCACTTGTGTTTGTGCGGAATAAAAGACCATTGACTGTTACGAAGCGCGAGAGATGTATTTCCCCGCCTCGTCTATTGTCGCCGCGCATTCCAACATCTTTCTCCCGACTGCGTGCGCGGAATTACCGCGCTCTCCCTTTAGTTTTTTTTTTTTTATCGAGCTTGCGAACATTGAGTATATTTTATATCTTATTGTGGTAGATATTAATATTTTTATTCTGATAAATATTAATCAGAAAAACTCTTATAAAATTCTTCCAATACCATATTGTTCCATGATTATCATGATTTTCAGGATAAATTCTAAAAGAAAATATTCTCTGTGTATTACAGGCTTTTCGATTTTTATTATTTTAAAATAATTTCCATTCCTACATATTTATTATTTTTTTATTTAATATTTAATATTTATTTATAATATTTTTGCACGGCCGCTACATATTGACAGCTGAAAAAAATCACACGCATTAAACGAAGCGCGCACTATATGTGACTCTTTAGGTTGTCAATGCCAAGCGCGCTTACAAAGCGCTTCTGCCACCGCTTCGTCCGCGAGCCTAGTATCAAGTAACAGACGGAGGCTCCTTCGTGCCGCGCGCTCCTGCCGGGCGCCGATTGACTGATTTTTTACAATTAATATCTCATTAATTATTGCGAAAATCGCAAAATGCTATAAGACTTTTCTATTCAGTGTAACGTCCTTTATCTGCCCGCGAGTGGTTTGCGAATTATCGGACACTGTATATTTATATATATATATTTATATACATTTATATATAATTATACATGGACTATTTTTTCCCAGGTGTACATATTTATACATGACGAAAGAGTTAGGTATAATTATATATAATTATATATAATTATATACGTAATTATCTATAATTATATATAATTATACTATACTATATAAAATTATATTATACTATATAAAATAATACGTATAATTATATATAATTATATACGTATAAATATATATAATATTTTATACTATACCACTTACAATTATACATATTTCTACACATTTATCTATAGTTCTGTATAATTGCATCTAATTCTGCAAAAATATATATGAAAAATTTTTCCCCTGGTAGCGTCAAAGTAAAATCACATGACACTTCTTAATGCTTATTTTTAGCGTCTCATGAATTTGCACTTTAAGATATAAAATGACATTTATATCGATTTGTGTTGTTAGCTGAAAAGTTCCCTAATTTCCTAAGTTGTAAATTTACATACAATACCCCGAAATGCTATCATACATTATATAATCTAAAATAATTGTACAATACATATACGATAATTATCGTACGAATCCGAACACTGGACTGAGCGACCCGACGCCGGCGCGCAACAGTAGAATGCATGAATTTCTCTCCGCGTTTTCTCTCAATAGGATTATATTGCACGTCAAGGTTTTCGCGGGAAAAGAAATAGCGAGGGATACGTTTTTTTAGAGCGCCGAAGCGACATATTTTGACATTTTCCAATATCAGGAGATGCGGTAGCGTTTTACTAATACATCTTTTTTTCAAATTTAATTGAAAAATATCGAAAATATAGCGAAAACATCGAGAGATATTGAAAAAACCGAAAAAACGCTACTGCGTATCCTTTACCGAAGGTAACACGATTTCGTGAATATTAGAAACAATTAATTGAAATATTTCAGGAATCAAAAAATATTTTTTGAAAAAATGACTATATAAATCGAAAGTACGAATTCTTCCGAGTAAAATAAAAACTTGACGAAGTTGATAACTGCACTGGTCGCAAAGATACGAATTTTTTAATTAATTTTGCGGCTGAAAAGGTGTTTATTCAACTACGTTGTCGGACTTGTTCAGCTGCCATCTTGTTCTAGATGGGTGTCTGTCAAAGCACTTGGTTGCTTAACCTCCCTTCCTCTCTCTCTCTCTCTCTCTCTCTCTCCCCCATTCTCCTTTTTTCTCGTCCCCACTCTCAATTTTTCCCGTCTCTCCTACTCTCTATCTTCCTTCTTCCACCTCTTCTCTCTTTTTTCACATTCTTCCTCTTCTTTCCTCAAATTCCTTGTCACCTTCTACCCTTTTTCTTCCTTTTCTTCTTCTATCAGCCTCTACCATTTTTCGTCCCTTTTTCTCTTTTCCACCTTTTATCCACTATTATCTTCCTCTTCTTATTTTTTTTCTTTTCCACTTCCTCATTCCTTTCTTTATCTTCCTTTCCCCCTTCTTCTCTTTCCTTTCCTCTTTAATTTCTATCTTCTTTATCTCCGTTTTTTTTTCTTTTACTTCTCTCACCTTCTTTTCCTTTCTGCACTTTTTTATCTCTTCTTCCTTCTTGTTGTGTGCCTCGGGATGGGCACAGGGGTTGCGCCGAGTTGGTGATGGAGATCCGGAGCGCCAGGGGTTGAATCAGGCTAAATGAACTTGCACTGTTACACTTTTGTTTAATTAAAGTGTCTTTATTCGAAATTATACACGTGTTGTTATTTACTGTAGTGATACAAATTGATGTTCTAATCCCACGTTAGCAACAGCGTTACGTCTTATCTCGCGAACTACGCGCGGGGTTACGGCTACCGGGTAATGAGCGACTGCCCCAATGAGTCTTTGCTTTGTTTTTATATTACTACTTTTGAAGTCAAATTCCTTAAGTGCAAGCGAAGGAAGTCGAAAATCCTTTTGCTTTGCTTGCACTTAGGCAATTTTTTGTGTTACGCATGACTTGCAACGTCTGTGTTTTAACGCGATCAGCGCCTGTCGCAAGGCAGTTGTAACATGATACGTTATAGCTATTTTAGGGCTATAATATTCTCTTCTCCCACGTACATTTACTTTTTTCTCCTCCTCTTTATCTTCTCTTTCCACTTTTTCTCCATCACTAATCTCTTCCTTGCATCTCTTTTTCCCTCTTACAATGAGTGTTTTGTTGAGTCTAATTTGATATTATTTTTATGCTCTTTCAGCCTGTAACGATACACCTTTCCCGACGCCACGGATCAGCTCGTCGGTGCCAGGATTCGGGAAGAGGGGAGACTCAGATTCGCAATAACACTCGGTTGTTCTGGTAAAAATATAGTTTATTCGGGCCACCTTTCAGAGGTTGACCCGTGATTTAGTCTGTAAGTACATAGTATTGTATAGCGGACGAGACGCGACCAGATTATACGGACGCAGACACGACTTATAGCTAGAATTTACAAACAGGAGTATTGCGGACGAGACGCGACCAGATTATACGAACGCGGACACGACTTATAGCTAGAATTTACAGACAGGAGTATTGCGGACGAGACGCGACCAGATTATACAGACGCGGACACGACTTATAGCTAGAATTTACGGATAGGAGTATTACGGACGGAACGCGACCAAATTATACGGACGCGGACACGACTTATAACTAGAATTTCCAACGCGGACGCGGGTACGGGCGCCCTGAGAAGGGCGGACTCCGTCGAGCGCCGGTGGCTTACGGACAGAACCCGGTGACCGAGAACACTCGGCTTACACAACGAGAACGCTCGTCGGCCGGGATGACTTCCGGACAGGACCCGGTGACCGAGAACACTCGGCCTACACGACGAGGACGCTCGTCGGCCGGGATGACTTCCGGACAGGACCCGGTGACCGAGAACACTCGGCCTACACGACGAGGACGCTCGTCGGCCGGGATGACTTCCGGACAGGACCCGGTGACCGAGAACACTCGGCCTACACGACGAGAACGCTCGTCGGCCGGGATGACTTACGGACAGGACCCAGTGACCGAGAACACTCCGCCTACACGACGAGGACGCTCGTCGGCCGGGATGACGTGGAAGTTGAGGAGTGATCCCTGAGTACGCTCGAGGGACCAGGACGGGACTGGCTCTGAAGCTTCGGCTGCGCCGGTTTTTATACCCGACGAGCCCCCCACTCCAAAACTAGTTTGGAGGAGGTCGATTGACGGGTGGGGGGCGAAAAGGCGGATTTCCAACGTGTTTATGTGTTGGCTCCGAAAGGGGCCGTTTACATGAGCGCGGGTGGTTAACTGGCCACGTGAATATGTGGCTAGTGACGGCCAATCGGGTCGTCACAAGCCTAGTGCACAATTGTCTTTTCGTCTGTTCTATGTATGTTGCATCGCAATCCTTGCAACTTATCTTATAAATGACATTAGAATTATTCGAAACATAGTTTTTATCTTTTTGCGTTGTGATGATATTATTTAATCTTTTTATACAACGATATCCTATTTTTATCTTAGATTTTCTGATCGCCGACGCGACTAATTCTGAGATTCCCTCAATAAGGTATCGCAACAAATTTATTATTAATATCTTCCGTAATATTGTTACTATTTTCTGTGTTGTTTGACTCTATTGCATTCTAACTTCTACGTTTTTTACATTTAACCACATTAATTACAAACAAATTCATAGTAACAATATTACAGTAGATAATAATAATTTTATTGCTTGCTCATATATAGAACAAACAAAAAGACATTTTAATACTCGGACTAAAGAACACAAAAATAATATAAAATTGCATGAGAGTAATCACAATCAGTTATAAGTAAACATAAAGTTGTAGAAATTAATCAATCAAACTAGCAAGTAAATGATTCATTTAGTTTTACGACGTTTCGACCATGTGATTGTGGTTCTTATCAAGTGAAACACTAAAATATTTTATTACATAAATAATTATTAAAGTACATTAAAAAATTTTTTAGATAAACATATCAATAAAAACTAAAAACCATACTTATAAAAGAATTCAATTAAAGTTAACACATTATTATATAAATTTTGTCAGTCACATTTCTTATAACTATATAAGTCAATCAATAAAGCAAAGCGAAACATTAAACATTATAATCCGTCGAAGGATCGTCAGATTCTAATGTTTTTAAAAAGAATATTTACACGACCTTAATTATTTTCTTATAAACCTCATTAAAATTCTCCGTATCCTTATGTGAGTTAAACATAGAGTGAATTTTAAACATGAATTTGACTGGAAAAATCCGAATATTTTACATAAAAGACATACAAAAGAGAGAGAGTTAGTTAAAATGTTTTTTATAAAAAAGGTTAACAATACGTTAAACGCTCAAAAAGACACTGACAACCTAAACAGTATTTATGATAAGGTCATTAGAATTGTTTAAAAACTTATATTGACGAATTGCTTACATACCAACAAGATGTCTTAAGAGACGCAAGTTTATTATATAGTGATAGATAGGTTTTTAGGAATTAACACTACTTTAATTATATTGCCATCTTAAAAAAATTGTAAGTTTTTAATTTTACTTTTTTCTTTTTTGCTTATCTGTTTCGATTGCCCTCGTATGATTGATGTAATTGCTTTTGTTGTATTTATAATTTCAAAATTATTTGATAAAGACCTTGTAACGGTTCACCTTTCCCGACGCCGCGGATCGGCTCGCCGGTTCCAGGATTCGGGAGGAAGGGGGAGATTCAGACTCGCTTATTCCTTATTAACAATGCTTTGGTTTATTCAAAAAGAAACAAGTAAACAAAATGATTGTTGGCATAAAGCCTAAATAGAGAAACTTATTGACTACTCGGTATAAACGAAATGTTTGTTGGCATAAAGCCCTAAATAGAGAAACTTATTGACTACTCGGTATAAACGAAATGTTTGTTGGCATAAAGCCCTAAATAGAGAAACTTATTGACTACTCGGTATAAACAAAATAAGGAGGCGTATAGCCTGTAGCGGTGTCCGGAAAAGATTTACAAATTACCCGGTATAACTTAGAGATACGGTGTACGGAGGCGTATAGCCTATAGCAGGAAGAAACCGGAAACCGGGAAACCCGGCGTAATGACGAGAAACCCGTCACCCGGTGTATAGCAGGAAAAGACCGGAAACCGGGAAACCCGGCGTAACAACGAGAAACCCGTTGCCCGGCGTGTAGCAGGAAGAGACCGGAAACCGGGAAACCCGGCGTAACAACGAGAAACCCGTTGCCCGGCGTGTAGCAGGAAGAGACCGGAAACCGGGAAACCCGGCGTAACAACGAGAAACCCGTTGCCCGGCGTGTAGCAGGAAGAGACCGGAAACCGGGAAACCCGGCGTAACAACGAGAAACCCGTTGCCCGGCGTGTAGCAGGAAGAGACCGGAAACCGGGAAACCCGGCGTAACAACGAGGAACCCGTTGCCCGGCGTGTAGCAGGAAAAGACCGGAAACCGGGAAACCCGGCGTTATGACGAGAAACCCGTCACCCGGTGTATAGCAGGAAGAGACCGGAAACCGGGAAACCCGGCGTAACAACGAGAAACCCGTTGCCCGATACTAAAGGTAGGAGGCCAGAAACCGAGAAACCCGGCGTAACAACGAGAAGCCCGTTGCCTGGCTAGGAGGTCCGGAACAGGACTGGTGCCGGCTCATCCGTCGAGCCGGCTTATATACCCTGCCGGCGGTTCCCCCACTCTACATCGAGGCTGTGGTGGGGATAACGCCGGCGTCGTAGTGGGGCGTCTCTGGGGGTTGTAGTGGGGCGCCCCTGGGGTAGGGTGACCCGTGTATCAGTTATGTTTTTGTGCTTAGGGGCGCCTTAGGCGCCATAGCCTCAAGTAGCGGGCGGGTGATCGGCCCGCGAGGCGTTAGTAACGGCCACGCCGTTACACTACCCCCTCTCTAGACGGCGGATCGTACGGGGTCGGCCGAATCGGTCGAACCGTATTATCCACCGTCCAGTGGGGGAGGTGGCTCGGAACTTCCGAGTAGCGTGGGCGCAGTGCCACGGGACCGCCACCACGTGCGCGTCGTCAAGGGTAACCATGACGACAGGCGACGCGGGAGGCGGCCTGCGGACCTCCCGAGCTGGTGGTTGGGAGGAGGGCGCCGCCACTGCTGTGACGGCGCCCACCCCCGCCACCCTCTCGGGGAGGGCCCGGGCTGGCTGCGCCCGAGGAACGGCGGGACGCCGCGGTAGTTTGGCCCGGACTCCTCTCGGCCGTGGACCCGGCGGTGGCGGCGGCGCGGTCAGCAGGATAGCCCTTTGGCGCTCCTGCTGCACGTCCGACCGCTGGACCGAGACCCCCGGCCGAGGGAGCCGGACCGACGCCGCTGGGGCCTGGTTGACAGGCGGCCTCTTTGGCTCGTCAGCCGTTCCTTCACTCTCCTCCGAGGAGGAGATATCACCAAAAAGCGCTTTGATGGTCGGTTGACTCATCGCAGCAATATGAGCCGGGTCATTGACCCGGCCCCCCTTATATACCCCTACGGGGGGTCTTTGAATGCGAGAAAACCGAATTCCGTCTGCGGACCCTAGCGGCGGGGGGTCGGACCTCGTGGCCCGTCTGTGTCGGTGGTTAGTCGCGGGAGCGCCGCGAGATGGCGCGCGGTGCGCTGGGGGGCCCGTAGCGGCGGGCTCGGGCCTTTGCCCGGCGATCTTATCGGCCGAGTCGGGAGGTTGATACAGGGAGCCGCGAGATGGCGTGGGGGGTATGGCGCTGGAGGAATCACGGCGGCTGGCCCTGTCCTACGCTCCGACGGTTTCCTCGTCCTCTTCCTCGGATGCCGCCTTGAGGTCCTGCACATGGATGTGGCGGTGCCATCGTCCTCGGGCGTCCTTGAGGTCAACAATTACGGGGGATACGATCCTCCGGACAGTCATCGGTCCGCTGTACTTCGGGGCCAGCTTGGCGTTGAACGCGTTGGCCTTGCTGGACAGGGGGCGGTCGCGTTTCCAGACGCGTTCGCCCAGCTGCGGTCGCCAGTCTCGTCGCCTCAGGTTGTACGGCTTCTCTTGCCGCTGGAAGGCCCGGGCGAGGTGGATTCGGACCACCTTGTAGGCGTCCTCCAACTGGGTCTGGCGGGTGCTTGGTCCTGGTGCTGGTGCGGTTCCTGGTCGATCCTCTGGATGTGGGCGGGCGAGCTCTCGGCCGTGCAGGATGTAGGCCGGAGTGTATCCGGTGGCCTCATGTCGGGCGGTGTTGATGGCGAACTGTAAGGCGGGGATTCGCTCGTCCCAGTCTTTGTGCCGCCGGCCTACGTACTGGCTGATCATTGTTTTAACCGTACGGTTCGCTCGCTCTACCGG